CGGAATTAAATCGCGTAGTGTTATTATATTGTTATTTATCCTTGCCAAGAATGCAGCTTTTCTTGACAGTGAGATGCACTTTGATTCCCCTTGGTGAGCAAGATGGATCGCATCTAGAACTTTCTTTTGTAGTTCCTCGGAGATAAGTACTCTGTCACCATTGAGGATCAGGCCATCCTCAAGCACTCGGTCACATCTGAAATTCCAGTAATCTAGGAGTTCAGTTAGATATTCTTTTCTATGTGAAGGCCATCCTCTATAGATGGGGTCCTTTAAATTGACCATAACTGGGTCCTGCGCTGATGTGGCCTTTATCACCTTGATGTCAATAGGGCAGGGTACAATGTTCGTGACGAAGTGAATCTTGTTGTCTATACCTGATGTTGTCTTGACAAAGCAGGTTTTCAATAATGCRTCGGCTACAGGGATCGTCTTTCCTGGCTTGTATTTTTAAATTAAAAATTTTGAAGTTAAAACTTCAACGTCGAAACGTAAACATCTTTGCAGGAGTCTCTGTAGCCTTCCTGGCGCTTCTCTTATATTCTTTTTTTTTAATCTGCTCTAGCAGTGAGTGGTCTGTCTCAACAATGGTTGTATGTCCAAGAAGGTAATATTCAAACTTCTCCAGGCCATACGTTACTGCTAAGCATTCATGCTCAATGTTGGAATATGTCTTCTCAGTGTCTAAGAGCRCTCTTGAGGACATKGGGATGACGATTCATTCACGGTTGTTTGTGTCAATCTGTCTGATCCATGCACCAAGTCAATCAACATAACRGGTACYGAGCAAAGTTCTTTGATTTTGTCAAGTGCAGCTTGATGTTGTTCCTTCCACTTTRAATGCACGTTTTTCTTGGTGAGTTCTCTAAGAGGTGCTGTAAGTTGACCTAACTTTGTTGAGTATCRGTTAAGATAGGTGATCATCCCCAGTATGGCTGATTTGACATCTATTGTCTTGTTGTCATCCATCATATCTAAAGCAGCATTGAGCTTTGACTACTAGTACTTTCRACAGAGCATTGTATGAAATGGTGTATACAAGAGTGACTGATGAAGAAAAAGAAGCCTAGGACGCTGATCTTTTGCACACACTCTGTTCATGTTAGACCCATACTAAAAGATGTTTAGTGTGATTTTCAGGCTCGTCCATGAATCGAAAAGCATGGTTTATAGCATTTATAGAAAAGTTCATTCTAGTTCTCACAAGATCTCCAATTCAAGTGATCCAAACATTACTCACAAAGACATTTGAATTTGTTGCAATATATATTAATTTTTCACTAACCGCAAGCTTCGCTTTGCATGTGGACTACTATATTATTACAGTTTTTTTTTTCAAATACCCCTGATCACTGCCATACACTGGAATTGACCATATTAAATTTTTTAATGAAAGCAATGATAAAAAGGTGTTGTTTCAATAAAAGTACAAATATTACCGTATTTACCCATGTATAAGCCGCTCTCGTAGATAAGCCGCACCCCGAGTTTTAGGAACATTTNTGATTATCCACATACTTTTACACGATGTATGGAATCAAAAGCCTTTTCAAAGTCTATGAAATTTCGGTGTAGTGTTACTTTGCCATTCGTTGACTTGCTCACTAATGTTCCTAAGTAGTCCTTAGTGCAATTTGGTCTGAAATMGCACGACCGTAAAGTGGGAGTGCGATTTGTAATTGCAAGTTTGATTTCAGATCAAAATTGCACAACACGAAGTGCAATTACCACTTAATTATATCCATTTTGAAATCCTAATWAAAAAGACAGTCATGGCTTTTTAAAACCGGAACCGGAAAGTCTTTTACATCTCATTTACAATTCATAAACTGACAGGTCATGCCACTTCACATTGAGGAAAAGTACGAACTTGACAAATTTCAAACGAGCAGTTTGTGTTCAAGTTTTATTTCATTTTGAGTCCTCATAAGATTAAATTATGGAGGCCCTCAATGCCATGTGATTTTGAGAATTTCCTTGCCTTCACAATCCTTACATTGTTGCCTTTCTTCTTCAAAGAGCAGTCAAAGGAACTTTGGTATCTGCCATACTGATTCTGGTTGTTAGCTGTCAACTTCTTGAATTCTTACTCTAGCATAGAACTGGCATAAAATGTTGTCAAAGTTTTATGTGCTTGACAATCAAGATGGCGGTTTTGTGAATATTCATCAAAGTTTTCCAAAATTTTGTTGCTGTCTTGGTTCTTATTAGTGACCTGAAGCCTAAGGATGTTTGCACTGGAAATCTTCATTCTTTAGACAGGCTTGAATTGTTTGTGTTGCAGTTGCAAACTGAGCTACATGAACTTTGGGAACTTGCATCCCTTGGTAAACATTTCTGACATTTTTGGACTGTAAATTACACTTTAATCAGGATTTAGAAGTATCAAATGTTAAATTAATAATGTTAAAAGAACACGTAGCGAATCGACTCAACATTCGTAACGATTTGACTTTTTGCTTAACGAATTGACTGGTAACGAATTGACCGGATACTGATAGTACACACTGTAAAAACTGATCAGTTAAAATAACCATTGAAAAAGGTTGTTAAATGCATCTGTGATAACTCAATTAATTTAGTTATTTTGACCAATATAAATATTCATAATAACCATTTCTGTAGGTCAATATAACCAACTATTTTAGTTATATCAACCTTGTGATAGTTATTTTGACCATTTCAAAAAGGTTAAAATAACCATCACCACAGTTAAAGTAACTAATTAAAATAGTACTTCAGATGCATCTGACACAAACCATTTTTTTAGTTACATTTTGTTATTTTAACCTAAAAAAAATAGGTTATTTTGACCTTAACAAATTAGGTCATTTTAACCTGTCAAATATAACATTTTGTAATTAGTTGAAATAACAAATTGCAAACATTGGATAAAATATCAACAACAACAAAATGCAGTAAATTTCATTTGAAAAACATTTATTCAAAACCATTAGTAATACAAAATTAGTTCTACAATGTAAATAATTGAATGTTGAATCAATGTTGAAGAGATAATACATTTACAAACTGATATTTACAAGTTCAATAGTTGCAGGATGCAGAAACTAGGTGTATATGTATGGTCCACACTCTAAAGCTAAAAATACATGTAATACCTACACATTCAGATCTAAAACGTTGTGACATAAAACATAACATTTATATTTAAGAATACACTAAAGCAACAAAAGAGGATTACTGAGTCTGAACAATGATGTTGTCTTTTTAATGGATTCCTAAATACAAATGTTCTCTTTTATGAAGCCTCATGATACTTTACACTTTGCTTGCCAATTGTATTTTGCATACTTTTCTCCAGATATAGTATAGTTTTTGTCAATTTATTTAGTTATTCTGATACATTTTATTATGATATGAGAATAGTGTTATTATTATTATTATTGGTCGATGCCCAGTGTAATATTTTATACTTAGATTAATTCCAGCAGAAAATAAACAACATCTAAAGAAACACTTAATTTTACAAAAATATATTTCAAGCTATATTTTTGTAAAGTTAAGTGTTTCTTTAGATGTTGTTTAATTTCTGCTGGAATTAATTTATAAAATATTACACTGGGCACTAACCATCGATCAATAATAATAATAANACAGAGCATTGTATGAAATGGTGTATACAAGAGTGACTGATGAAGAAAAAGAAGCCTAGGACGCTGATCTTTTGCACACACTCTGTTCATGTTAGACCCATACTAAAAGATGTTTAGTGTGATTTTCAGGCTCGTCCATGAATCGAAAAGCATGGTTTATAGCATTTATAGAAAAGTTCATTCTAGTTCTCACAAGATCTCCAATTCAAGTGATCCAAACATTACTCACAAAGACATTTGAATTTGTTGCAATATATATTAATTTTTCACTAACCGCAAGCTTCGCTTTGCATGTGGACTACTATATTATTACAGTTTTTTTTTTCAAATACCCCTGATCACTGCCATACACTGGAATTGACCATATTAAATTTTTTAATGAAAGCAATGATAAAAAGGTGTTATTTCAATAAAAGTATAAATATTACCGTATTTACCCATGTATAAGCCGCTCTCGTAGATAATAAGCTGCACCCCGAGTTTTAGGAACATTTTTGATCGCTATTGCGAACACAGCTTTCTTTGATTTTAAAGTGCTTTTTCGCTGCTCGATTTCCGTGATCCATGCATTTCGTATGTATTTACAATCAGTTTATTTAACGTGCGGTGTATGATGATCTTGGAGACATAATTGTTAAGATTGATAATTGATACTATATTTAAAGAGTTGTTTTTCATTCAAAGGGTAAAAGCAAACTAGTAATTAACTTGAGTGATATAAATCTCATCGTGCCGCCAAACTTCTAAACATAAGGATCATGCCGAAACCGTTTCGTATTTCAAAAAAATATTTAAGCAGATTGTATTTGTTTAATATAAGAACAATTTCTTGTGCTCTTTTCTTGGGTATTCAAAATATTTACCCTGGATTCTTCACTTTAAGTGTGACAAAGTCGCTTAAATGAACAATGCAAATTAGYATCGYRTTACCAAAACAACTCCAAGACAAAACGATTGAAAATGCTCTGTTCATTTTAGCTCAATAACCACGCACTTTTCAGTTTGATTTATTGTTTCTCAGAGCTAGATTTTCTGAGAATTTATAGTAATAATGAGAAGTTTGGATTAAAATTCCTGTTCCCGCCGTGTAAAACAAACTTATCACATTATTGATGTCCTGTCTGCAGTAAGTAAAACCGTGAATGCTAATTTATGCAAATTAGTTTTTTTATCGTAGTCTTCTCGTAGATAAGCTGCACCCCCGGTTTGGGAACGATTTTTTTGGAAAAAAAGTGTGGCTTATACATGGGTAAATATGGTAAATCAAATTGAAGTTGGTCAGCAGGCAATATTCATATACCACAAGATGCCCATGATGTATCTGATCTGTGATTGTCTGGTTTCATTTAAAAGAGGTCTGAAGCAGTTATCTGATATCTTTTGCAGTCTAAGTTACCCAAAAAGAGTGCTGACAAAGCAGCAAAGAAGGGAGAAAAAGACAACAAAGTGAAAAAGAAAGTAAAAAAAGAAGAGGCAGTAGACAAGAAGTCCAAAACTGTCAAGAAGGAGAATGATATAAAAACAGTGAGTATACTAAATATAACAACATATAACTTTGCTAAGGGTTCCTCCTTTCTTGAAAAATAAGCTAATAGGAGTATTGTATTGGAGTGTATGATTTCAGCTATTGTACGCTGTGTCAGCATTTCCAATAAAACAGTTGGGAAGTGATATATTTAACACCTAAAAGAGACTGATTTCATTCTTCAAACCAAGAATCACTGGTTTGAATTTGTGCTTGAAATGGTTTGGCATTTATATATTAATTTTTTTTTTTGAGATAGGGTCACCCTAATAAAATTGTCATCAAACCAGAAAAGTAAAAGCCCTTGTGTATGTGACAGGAAGCATTCTCTTTTGGCGGCTAATTCAGTTACCCTACTTGAGTAGTAGATAGGGTGACAATTACATAATTATTTATTGCTCAAGGGTGACCCTGACTGACATGTGAAGACAACCATGAAAAACAATAGAGTAGGGTCACCCTTTTATTATAAGTAATACCATGGAACTGGGGGATATTAGGGATTAAATGTCCCTGAAGCCAAGGAGATTAGTGGAAGTCCCGAGGCCGCAGTCCAAGGGACTTTTACTAAATCTCCAAGGCTGAGGGGACATTTAATCCTTAATATCCTGAAGATGCCATGGTATAACTTTGTAATACTATGATTTCCAAAGGAAATAACCAGAAGCATATTGACAATTTGATTCTAAAAAGAAATAAATACGTTTTTTAACAATGACCTGAACTTGACTACTAATTACTCTTTGGAAATCAAACATTTTGGTATTTTATATACACCTAATTAAGAAAACGTTGTCCTGAGATTTAGGGATTTAGGAATACATTAAAAGACAAAACATGACCACTGAAGCCAAACACTTTCTTTTGT